CGAATGCTGGAGGAAACGGACTCCCTCTCGGCAATGGAGGCACCCCGCGTTGCCCACCGACCGTGCGAGACCGCGTTGCTGAGTAAATTTGGATTATGCTGCTTTCCTTGGTGAAGCGAGGTCACCCTGTGGATTTTATATTTTCCCATCACACTGCGGTATTCCACGCAGTGAGGCCGCTGACAAACAAGCCACGATTGCACGATCCCTCCCGCAGGACTGCGTCAATGCCTGGCACGTGGACTTCCTTACCGCCGTCAAGAGGTTATAATGGAAGGATGCACAGGAGGAAAAGGAAGGCGCGCACACCGCGTGACAGGCGCCTGTCGGTGTGGCGAGGACTCTATTCCTGTTGTTGACCCGGACATCGGTCCCCGAGTGGCGGCACTGCGCACAGGCGCGATGCGACTCCTGCCCACTCTTCGACAGGCCTGCACGCGCCCTGCGGATCACAAGGAACCCTCTGTGCCGGTGGTGCCGTCCCTCCCTCACTGCGGTGACCGGCCCGCCTCTGCCTCCGCCGGAACCTCTTCCCGACGTGAGCACCGCAACTCCTTGTCGACCAGCGAGCGGCGGATTGACGTCCTCCTGCCCAACCTGCGGCAGAGTGCGCTTGTCCGTCCACAGTATGAGGGCACATGCCGGAAGTGCTCAGCCTGGCGTTATAATAGTTTGCGAGGGCCTCCCATGCGGACGCCACAATGGCGCCACCGTCTTCTTAACAGGCGCCTCGCGCGCAGGTCGCCACCGAAGTTGCCAAGCACGCCAGCAGGCAAGACACGCAGGAAGCACAAACGCGGGTACTCGAGATGGACCAGGCTCTTCCGCCACCGCCTCATCACGGACGCCACGGGCTGCTGATCCCCGACGGACCACGGGAGACTCCGCCTCATCCACTGCGGGAATGCCCTCGTCGTTGGGAACTGGGACTGCGACTGTTTGTGACTGCCCCAGCCCGCACGACGGAATACTTGCCACTTTTGTACGGACGGCCCTTGCGCTACTCACTCGCTATTGTAGCAGCATACAACCAAACAAGATAACAAGCTGTTTTGTGATGAATATTGGCTGCACTTCCCGTGGACCAACAATCCGCGTGGTGTGCGGGGATCTCCTTTTGTATTGTTACTTTGCTGTTGTGTTGCTGTGTGCGCTGCACCTTCTTGTGTGTGTGCGCACCCTCCGTGAGGGGTGCCGACACGACGGACCGCTCTCGCCGCATGCACATGCGGTGGAGCCTTGTGTGCCGCTCCTGTTTGCTTCTCCCTCCTCCATCTGTGTGTTGGTGTTTCGGCAGGGCTGTGTGTGTGTGTGCCTGCTGCCGTGGATTGGAGTGTGTGTCGTGCGTGGTGTGCGGCGTACGGTGCATGCCTGGCTGCTGCCCTCTCCTCATGTGGTGTGCCCTCTGTTTGTGTCTGCCGCACCTCTCGTCTCCCCTGTTGCTCTCCATGTCCTTCACTGTGCAGATCAACTCCACACCACTGAACGACCACACTCACGATGATGATGACGTGCCGTCTGCTGTGCGCCCTGTTGGTGCTCGCCCTGTGCTGCTGCTGCCCGTCCGTATGCGTGGCAGAGGCTATGCGTAAAGGGTCTTCCAATACGGCCACGAAGAATACAAAACCGGAATCAACTAGGCCTGAATCTCCTGAAGCCGCCCCCAGTCTATCGCTCCCTTTGCCAGGGTTGCCAAGTAAGGAGCCTGTTGTGGAAATAGAAGAAAGTGTTGGAGGGGGAGAAATTTTGACCGTTCAAGAACCGACAACAATTACGGAAAATACGAAAGAAGTTAAGAACGGCACGACTGGACCAATAAGTGGCAACAACATCCCTACAGAACAAACAAATAAGAAGTCTGAAGCCTCTGCTCAGACAACGACAACGACGACTACAACAAAGGCACCAACCACGACGACCACCACCACTACAACACGGGCACCCAGCACTACGACTACGGAGGCGCCAAGTACTACGACCACCCGCGCACCGTCACGTCTTCGCGAAATGGACGGCAGCCTCAGCAGCTCTGCGTGGGTGTGTGCCCCGCTGGTGCTTGCCGCATCCGTGCTGGCGTACACCGCTGTGGGCTGAAGAGGTGTGTGCGGGCTGCGCGTGCCAGCACTCAACCGCGGGGACTTGTGCGCGTGTGTTGTGGTTCACTGTATAAAATAAGAGGAAATAATGATCTTGTTTTGCTTCACTTGCTTCTGCTGCCGTGCTGTGTGCTCCGCGTTGCGCCCCGCATCCGCCACGTTGAACGCATCGCGGACACACTCATAAGCATGCGCACTGGAGCCCTGGGTTTGTTTTTCTTTTTTAATTTCTTTTTAATTATTGCTTTTTATTGCTTTTTAAACTTGTGGTTTGCGGTGCGGTGTGCGAGCTCTGCAATCGTACTGATTCCATCTGTCTCGTGGTGTGTGCGCTGCTGCTGCTGGGGTGCTGCCATTTGTTACTCTGCGTGGTGTAGCGGCTGTGTCTTCTTTTTACTTCCCTCTCTGTTGACGTGGTGTTACTTTTTGCTGAAGGCTGCAGGCAAGTGACAGGAGTGGTGGCGATGATGACTGGCCGTCTGCTGCTGGTGTGTGCCCTCTGGGTGCTGTGGTGCGGTGTGTCTGGAATTGCGGCCGATGATGCTGGCGGTGGCGATGTTTTTGTTTCTTGTGGGGACAACAAAAAATTGGAAGAAACGGAATTGTCATTCCCAGTCATACCGGGTGTGGAACCACAGGCGCCAGAAGTTAAAGAAGAATCACCGACCCGACGCTCAGACGATGTTTTGGAAGAAAAGGGTGAAGTCGTTGCTGAGCGAGATGAAGCGGATGGCGGTGGAGTTGGAGTTGATGGTGAAAAAGTGAAAACCGTTCAAAAAGGAAGAGGTGAAGGGGTGTCTGAAGGCGATGCACCAGCAGAGGCGGAATTGCACTCAACCGACGATGAGACCTTACGGCGGCCGTCACCGAATGGAGCAAAAGGAGGTGAAAAAACGGTACCCTCCGACGACACTCCGCCAGAAGGAAGAGTTCAACAACGACAAGAAGATCCACCGGGTTTGTTGCAGAGTGAACCCGGTGATCCCGCGAGTGGAAGGGGAGTTCCGCCGGAATCAACGGAACATAAACCACTCGCATCAGGAAGCCCAAGTTCAGAAACAGAAACAACGGGAATTCAGAAGGTATCAACACCCACGCATGCGGGAGAATCCCCGAGAGTAACGGAAAAAGACGTTGTTGCCACTGAACATGAAAGAGAAGATAAAGAAGGGCCTGTAAGCAATCCAATTAAAGTGGCAGACGTGCGGTTGCCTGAGCCGCAGGAATTGCGGTCACAGTCACTGGATGGGACCCAACGAGTTGAAACGGGGGTACGCCCAATTAACAGTTCGCCAGAGGATCAAAATAAACAACGAGTTTTATTGAATTTGTCGCAGGGTGAATCAGCCAACGATCCACCGGAAACAACTCCGCAATCCTCTTCTACAGGTGGACATCGTGTTGAGAACAGTCGTACGAATGGAGATGGCGCGAAGAATACTGAGGGGTCAGCTGCCGGAGAAAAGAAGGACGACAAGAAAGGACTCGAAAAAGATGTTGTCCCGACAATCAGTGAGGGAAAAATACAACCGCCAGTCACGGCAGCCGCCAGCACGAGTGAGACGGCAATAGATGGCGACAGTAAAGGCAGCTCCACAGCAGCTACGGCCCTGCGGTCTGACGATGACACAGAAGGCAATCCGGCCAAAAATGGCTTGAGACAACCCTCCAGTGAAAGAACCGCAGAGCACAGTACGACCCCCGATTCTGAAGACGCATCAGACAGCGCGGAGAAGGCTGCCTCTCAGAATGCAGGAATCCCAACAACAAAAGCAATCGCCACAGCCAAAACAAATGACACAGCTTCTCATGGCGACAGTGACGGCAGCACCGCGGTCTCCCACACCACCTCCTCTCTTTTGCTTCTTCTTCTTGTTGCGTGTGCGGCTGCGGCTGCGGTGGTGGCCGCGTGAGAGTGAGGGAGAGAGAGAGCCATGCACCGCCCGCACACACACTCGTCCTTCTCTCACTCTCTGTGTGTGTGTCCCCTTGCATGGACTCTCGCCCTCACCTCACCCCACGAGGCACACACAATAATGTGCCCATTGTATATATGCATGCACACCCATGCAGGCCCGTTGGTGCTCTCTTTTGCACGACACGCACCGCTGCCGTCCTGCCTGGCTGCATGGGCGGAGCACCGTAACTGTTTCTGTTTTGTTTTTATTGCATTGAGTGGGCAACCTCTCTCTCTCTCCCTCTGTGTGTGTGTTTTGCTTTACGGGAGTAATGAGAGTGTGTGCGCTGGTCGTCCCACGCTTCGGCTTTTTGTTTTGTTTTCCTTTTTGATTTTGTGGTTGAGTGCACCCATTCCGCGGCTGCGTGTGTGTGTGTGATGATATGAGTAATTTGCGTGTGTGCTATCTGCCTCTCTCTGCCGTTGCTTTCTTCAGACTCTCTTGTGGCGCACAGCTGCTCCGCAAGTATAGGCGCTGCCAAACACACAAGCACATGCACACACACATGCAGTGTTGCAAACGCTGAGAATGCACGCACGCACAGGATTGTGGCTGCGGAGGCCCTCGTGAGGAGAGAAGAAGCCTGCGTTTTGTTTTTTTGACATATTGCGCGGTGTGTGCTGACGCGTGAATAACAACACACCCGCCGTGACTCCTGCTGGTGGTGGCGGTCGCTGTGTGTTCCCGGTGCACTGTTCTCCCTTCTCATTCCGTGTGTCTGCGTGCGTGAGTTGTTGTTGTTGGGAGTGACTGCGGCGGGGATGATGGTGCCACTCACTGTGGATGGGTGGCGGTGCTTATTCTTTCACCCATATTTTATTAGCCTGTTTTTATTCATTTTTTCTCACTCTCTTACGAAGAAAGCAAACAAGCGCGAATCGCTACTGTGAAATTGTAAGGCACTGAAAGGACCAACAGCACACACCGCCCACACACACATATTTGTATGCTCTCACGTGTTGCTGCAGTGAAGGCACCCCGCAAACACAACCGTCGCCACGTGACCGGATCCAGCGGAAGGAGTAGGGAAGGAAGAGAGAGTGAGCGGCAGAGGCCCAACATGTCCCGGCGTGTGTTTGCTTCCGCGGTGCTGCTCCTCCTCGTCGTGATGATGTGCTGCGGCAGTGGTGGAGCTGCAGCCAATAATAAGGGGGCTTCAACTCGGGGAACTTCATCGGAGAAATATTTTGATTGGAGAGATAAAAAAGAAGGAGAAACAGTGAGTTTGCTCCGTGTCCCCAGTCTTGTTGAGATGGATGGCGAAGTGTTTGCCGTTGTCGAGGCGCAGTGCACTGAAGCCAGCAAGAGCGGTTTTACTGGGATTGCCTCGGAGCTCTTGACGTTAACTGATCAGGAATCAAAAGAATTGGGTACAGCCCAATTGAAGACACAAGTACTGGAGGAATGTCCTGCCCAAAATAAGAATTGTGCCCCCCATTCAGAAGTTTCGGCTGGTTTTCAGAGTAAGACGAAAGTACATATGAGCCGACCAACAACAGTTGTGAAGGGAAGTGATATTCACATGCTTGCTGGAACCTACAGTTTTGAAGTTACTGAAGGCGTTGATCAGACAGCTGCAGCAGCTAAATGGGGACTTTTGGTGGTGAGCGGCAACGTCAGTACTGAGGGCAGCGATAAAAGAATTTATTGGAACGACGCTTACGTTATCCCGTCGACTTATTTTGAAAAGCAACACGAATCCTTGACAGGGCTGATTGGTGGCGGTGGATCTGGTGTTAAGATGAAGGACGGTACGCTTGTGTTGCCCGTGGAAGGCACGAAGAATGGAAAGACCGTTTCGCTGATCATATACACAGCCACTGATGGTGGGAATCTGTCGAAGGGGATGTCTGCCGATGGCTGCAGCGATCCCTCCGTCGTGGAGTGGAAGGACAAACTCATGATGATGACTGCGTGTGGTGATGGCCGCCGCAGGGTGTACGAGTCCGGCGACAAGGGGAATACGTGGACGGAGGCACTCAGGACACTCTCGCGCGTGTGGGGCAACAAACAAAAGGAAGGTAAGAGACGCGGGAGCGGTTTCATCACAGCGACGATTGAGAACAGGGACGTGATGCTTGTCACTCTGCCGGTGTATCCCAAAAAGGAGAAAAATGGAAACAACAATGGAAAGGGCGTACTCCATCTTTGGCTGACGGACAATACGCGCATTGTTGATATTGGGCCGGTATCCGGGGAAGCTGAAGACGTTGCCGCCAGCTCCCTGCTGTACAAAAGTGGTGCAATTAAAACTGATAATGAGAAAAAGGAGGGGTTGATTGCACTGTACGAGAAGAAGGGCGATGCGGAATCATCACTCGGTATGGTCTCTGTGCGTATGACTGCGCAGCTGCAGCGGGTGAAGGAGGTGCTGGCGACCTGGAAGAAAGTGGACGAAACTGTCTCCGAGCTGTGCCCTTCTGAGGGTGCTGTGCAGGCTCCCTCAACTGACAATGCCTGCAGCCCTACTGTTAAGATCACGGATGGGCTGGTTGGCTTTTTGTCCGGCAACTTCTCTGATGACACATGGAGGGACGAGTACCTCGGGGTGAACGCCACAGTAAAGAAGGGAGCGGAAGAAGGAGCGTCAGCGGGAGTAGCAGAGACTGCAGGGTCTTCAGATGGAGTGAAGTTCCGGGGAGCGTGGGCGGAGTGGCCTGTTGGGAGGCAGGGGGAGAATCAGCTGTACCACTTTGCGAACTACAACTTCACTCTTGTGGCGACGGTGTCCATCCACAATCTGCCGAAGGGAGATAACCCCATTCCATTGATGGGTGTGCGTCTGGACGGTGGGAAAAAACTTATGGAGTTGTCGTACGACAGCCAAAGAAAGTGGCGGCTGTTGTGCAGTGACGGAACGACCAAGAGGCTTAAAAGCACTTGGGCGACAGAGACGCAGTACCAGGTGTCCATTGTGCTACAGAACGGAAAACAAGGCTCCGCGTACGTCGATGGTCAGCGTGTGTGTGGGAGTGCGCAACGTGGATTGGAAGCAACAGAATCGCAAGAGATTTCCCACTTCTTCATTGGAGGGGATGGAGGCAGCGCAGGGGGCCAAGGAGACGTCTCTGTGACTGTGAGGAACGTCATGCTGTACAACCGCCCGTTGACTTCTTCTGGCCCCGATGCCGAAGTGGAAAAAGATGTTGCGTCACCAGCAGAAGCTGTTTCTCGTGCCAAAACAGGGGACGAAATAAAAACGGAGGGGAAGCCTGCCACCACACAGCAAGTGCCGACGGCCCCGGGGTCCCATGCCGTTGGAGAAGCAGCGGGCAATGTCGGCACTGTGCGTGGGAGCGGACTGCTGCCGCTGCTCCTTCTGTTGGGACTGTGGGTGTTTGCGGCTCTGTGAGGAGTGGCTGGCTGCCGCGTGGAACACTTGCGACCTCCCGAGCACAGAAGTACTACTCCCATGGGAACAAATTTTCCTCATAAAATCTTTTTTTTTGCTTATTTTAAATTTATTTTCCTGTTTTCTACTTTCTTTTTTTTTTTCTGTTCGTTTCTTTTTTTTTTTCATCCCCCATCCTTTCATTTTTTTGCTTTTGGGGCAGTCGCTATGGACGTTTCTCTTTTCTTTTCTACTCTTCCTTCTTTTAATTGTTTGTTGCTGCACTCTTCCTGTGAGGGGTGCCGTGTGTTTCCCGCCCAACTGCTCCACTCGCACACCCACCGACACGCTCGTGACGACGGCCCTGTGCGCCTCGCCTTCTGCACGCATGAGGAGGGGCCGCGACGAACGGCGCGCTGAGGGAGCCGTGACGTGTGGGCGTGCGACGAGGGCCTGTGGGGCGGAGCACACATTTCTTCCCTCTTGTTTTGTTTTCTTGCGGCCAGGGCGGGCAGACACCCGCAGCGCCACACACACAGCCACACCCTGCCGCCGTGTTTTCCTTTTCTTTTTTTTTCTTTTTTTTTTTTGCTGCGCTCACTCTCCCGATGAAGTGACGCGACTGCCGTCGTGTCTGCGTGCTTCTCTCAGTCCCTCCACACACACGAGTGACTGTGCTCTGCGGGCCGCACTCACGCGCCGATGGGAGGGCTGAGGGGAGCAGCAACACGCAGATGACCCCATGAAATATAAACGATGTGCGGACACACGGAGGTCGGACGGTTGAAAGACATTTAAATATCTTTTAATTTTCTTTTCGGACAAAATGTACGCAGACAATTCCTGGAGCAACATGGTGGTTGGGTGCTTTTTTGTGTTTTTTCTTTTTTTTTTCATTATTTGGGTGTGGCCGTAACAGAGGACGACTTTTTTTCATTTTCTTTTTTTTCAAAGTGTGAGGTGTGGAAGGGTGAGGATGATTTTTTATTTATTTATTTTTATTTAATCTTTTAATGAATTGCCGCTGCTTTGGCTGCAGTGCAATATCGTGAGTCTGAGTAGTCTTTTTCTCTTTATTTCTGCCATGCACCTCTGCTGTACATTTTTGTTTGTGCGTCTCTCCACATACTCCGCTCTTCTCTCTTTTTTCTAATTCTTTGCTTTGTGTTTCTGCAGGCACACACACAAGATGCACATTGCGGTGGATTTGAATGCTTTTTTTGTAGCGTGTGCTGGCGGTTGCGCGTGGCGGCTATTGTCTTCTTTCGTGGCCATGATGATGAGGAGAAGGGAGGAGAGGGTGTGCGCGGCCCGCGTCTCCTTTCCTGCGGGTGTGATGCACCGCGTGTGACTGGTGTGGTGGGTGCGGGCTGTGGCCATTTCCTTGGGGCTGCAGGAATGAGCTGGGGAAGATGGTGGTGGATGTCTTCTCCTCCTGCATGGTGGGTTGCTGCTGGCATTGTTTGCCTTTCTTGCGTGGATGCTGTCTCGTGGTGTGTGAACTGTGCGGCTGGACCTGCTGCCCTCCCCTCATGTTGTCTGCTCTCTCGCGCTGCATCCGCGATGCTCCGTTCCTCTCCCTCCTGTTCCATTCCTTTTCCTTCTGGCTCACGGATCAGCTGGCTGGCTCCAGCGACTCCACTACCGGTGATGATGACGATGGTGCGGTGTGCGCCGTGTTGGTCCTTGCGGTTGTGGCTGTTGTGGTGGGTGACGGCTGCTGGGAGTCCTGGAGATGTATCTGGTGATGCGGATGCGGTGGTTGTGCCGGTGGATGTGTCGTGTGCTCCGGGTGACGGCAGCCTGAGCTATCGCGTGCGTGTGTGTGTGGGCGTGGACGAAGTGTTCTGCTGCCGGTGCTGAGGCTCAGTGTGAGAATTATACTTTCAGTGGCTTTGGTGTGCGCATGCATAGCACGAATGGTGAGCTGGGTGCTGTGTGTCATGTGGCCAATGCGGTGCACACATGTAGCAACTGTGCTGCCAGCTGTGCAACGGAAGAGGAAGGGGCCACCGTTGCCTTCACGACGAATGTGACGACGCATAAATACGCCGGCCCTTATGAATTGTGGTGGCGTCAATTTTCCCCCCGATGGAACCATTCATCCGCCTGCACGGAGCAGCGATGCTGACCGGACGGGCATCTGTCAGTTGCTGCCACCCCGTGAAGGGAAGGATGACACAAAATCTGGTGGGACAACTGCGCCGCAAGTGAATGCTGAGCCGTCACGTCAACACGAGGATTGGCAACGGTCTGCGGCGGCTGACGGACCCAACACTGTCGATCGGAGTCCCGCATCCAACACGGCGACCAACACGTCCGAGACGAGGCCTGAGTTTGTCTTTGTTCGGAACATAAAGGTGGTTCCGACACCACCCAAGAGGAAGCCTCGCATTGCCATGAGTCGGAACATAGAAATGGATCCGAATGCATTCGTGACGAAGACTGCGCTCGCCACCGCGTTGAGGCAGTGGGCTCGAGGGATGCCCGTAAGACTGAGGCCGTTGACGGCAGCGGCGAGCACGTTCCTGGGAAAAT